TCCTGAGGAAAGTTGTCACATAGCGGTGCTCAACTCTTTTTTACTAAAAAAACCTTGAATCTTTAATTTTAAAGTTCGTGCACTCGGCTGGCATCTCAGCGCAGAGGGATTTGGAGTAAGCTGATGGGGTCTAAGTTTTTTTGCTCTAGGATGTTTTTGCTGGATACATGACTGTTGATGGACACATTGGGAGATTGCAGAGATTGAGCCTGTGGCGGTCTAGTTAGAGAACAGTTAAGGTCTCCAGCCTCGCTGTAGGGAGCTGACTGGTGTTGAGTCATAATGAGATTAGCCTTTTGGGTTATACCACAAACTCGTTAGGCAGCATTCAGTCAGTGAATACAAATTATGTAAATATATATAGAAAAATTGCTAAAGTATTCAAATATTTATCACCATTTTCCATTACATCACTGACTAAAATGTTTCGTTGTTCTTCAGCAGTAAGTAAGACTGCAAATACACTTATTTGTCAGCTGCTGATAAGCTATGGTTTTTATAATAAACAGTTTCTTAATGTAAATACTTCAAGGGCTACACTGAAAGCAGCACTGTTCTCGTGATAGACCTGGTGACTGGAAAAAAAGGACAGTTACTGGTTAATAAGCCTACGTTAGTGTATTTATACACCACACGCGACAACCGCCAAAGCTAAAAGATGACGGCAGAGCGGAAATTTTCAAAAACTTGTGAACCACAATGAAATTATGTTCACAGCTGGTACAAAACTGGCCTATATGAACAGTTTCTCCCTTAAAAACAACATTATGCTGGGTGATTTTTTTTAGTGGTTTACTCAAAACCAATGATGTCATGTGAACTGGGTACACCTTTTAAACGTCGTCTATAATCCAAAGTGTTTTCACTGTACAGCTGGTGCCAGAAAAACAACCAAAGAAATCATAATTACTAAAGATTTGTGTTAATAAAGGAACACAGTTTGTGGGCAAAGTACATCTGATGATAATTGTGATTAATATCAGAGTCTAATGCCCAAACACATTTGCAGACATATCAACTATCTAATAACAAAATATATCTGATCTGTAATGCAGTGGGATAAAGTGATCACATAACAAACTGTTCTGCATTTTGTTATTACTGTGAACTCTGTATGAGAGGGCAGGCTGATTATTATTACAGTAATTACTCTCATTTGCAAAACCTTCTTTATCCTGCCAAATAGATATTTTTTGAAAAACAGGCCTGAGTTGCCCACCTACACTCCACTCCCTCACCCCCACCCCCCACCCCCCTCCTCGCTCCCTCCCCCTCCTCAAATATGACTCATCTGTGTGAAATTTTAATTCATCCTCAGGTGGCACTAAAATGAATGAAGATAACTTGGTGGGGGTAATTTGTTGAAGTGTATTGTTGATGAATCATGCAATGTATGAAATACTGCAGAAAGGCTTTATTTACCTTACAACTTTGCTCACTAATTACCACTTATATGATGCTGAATTGTTCCATCTCTTGCGGCATCTCTTTGATTTGTGATTCTGGGCTATTAAAATAAAACTGAGCTGTCTTTCGGCAAATAAAATCACTGCAATTAAAATGTCTCAACTTATTAGTGGCATTGTTGTAAATGCTCTCCACTGCAGCAGCACTAAAGGAAGCAGGTATGAGAAAAAAGTGGCTTCTATCGCTGTCTGAGTCTGAAAGAAAGGAGAATCTCATCACAAGCACCATATGGATGCCAAATCTGCCAAATGCTCTAAATTTGCATGTGATGACGTAAATTGGACTCACATATGTCTTTAAAAGCTCTATCTGTATCACATTTAGTGCTTTATTGAATGACACAGCATAGCTTTACATAATGACGGTCTGAGTCATGCATCCCTTTAAACCGAATACATTAAATTTAAATTGGACTCAGAGAAATTCTTAAATGCTGCTCGATCAAGATGAGTTGTGAGAGTGCGTTGGCAAGATCGCCATCAGTTTGGACGTGCTGTGTAATGGGTCAGCTCAGGGTTTGCTACATAGGTTAGACTGTCTGTGACAATAATACGATCCTCATCTTGCCCCGATACATCAGATGATCCTTATCCTTTAGTTGCTTCCTTTTTTAAATTTTCTAACCAGTTATTTACAATCCAACAATGAAGACGACAATCCTACAGCCTAGTAACAACAAACATTTGATGAAAGCGCTCTGACAGCGAGGTTATGGGAGCTGCCTGTAGACACAGATGCTTGTGATTAGATCATAAATGTCAAGTGTTTCAAGCAAAATGTGATATGTTTGTATTTTCTGTTATTATCTAATATTTTCTATTAAGAATGATATCATGTTAAGCAGCCACACGGTTTTGGTAACAAGAACAGACCACTCATTTTATCATCTAATATATGTGTACATGGAGTATGATGATATTACCAGCAGTGTTTAATGTTACGTTTTATCGTACTGTCAGTATTTATAAATATACATTCATTATGTGTCTTATTATGTCTTTCAACAAATTGATACATTCTCATAAATACTAAAAATGAACAAAAATAATAAATGCATAATTCTATTAATTAAAAACTACACAAGATAAGGCTGGTTTGTTGAATTCAGTGGTCGAATACAGTCGTATGCACGTGGCCAGACACAAATGCAGAACGCTGAAGCTGGAGAAGAAGGGAACTCGTAGGCATGTGTGTGCCGTGGAGGCATATTTTGTTTTGTGTCTGCACCTTCAGATTCAAGTTATGCAGGACCATACCTATATTTTATCATCTGAGATAAAACGCGAGGAAAGAGACGACGCCACCAGCACCTGAATACCACGTGATCCTCTTCCTCCTCACCTCATCTCCTCAACTGAAGTCAGGGCTTTATCAAAAACATTATTTATTAATTATTCCTGATCTTGTCGCAATTACTTATTGTCAGCAAATTAGCCATACAACCGTCCTGTAAGAAAACAGGATTCCCTTGACTGAAATCTGTAATGCGCTGACATCTAGTGGTGAGATTTTATGCACTGTAACTTTAACAGATTAATCCTAATAAAGTATGAGAAGAGTAACTTACTCTACCTTTAAGTGTAACGATTTAGTGCATATCAAGTTGATATTTGCAGCGTTTCCTTTATCATGTAACCAGCAGCAGGCATGTTAATTCTCCCACAGAGGGACAGCTTCTGCCAAGCTAAAAGTTTAGCCATTGCTGGAACGCTGGCATCATTCTCCTCCTCAGTTTTCTTCAAGTGTTGTGGATCCTCGTGCAGGTGCTTCTTCGTAATCTCATTAGGGCTCTTAATGCACACGACAGACGTACGAGCACTGTGCCTTAAATCTACTTTCTTGCTAATGGCCAACAGATGGTGTTTGGGTGTAAAAGAAAATTACTCGTTGGCTCTAACTTGCTCCGTGACCCGGCGTTTGTCATCTCATTGAATGAAACGTGCTTTTCATTTAGCCTATTACGGTCGAGTACCTCAGGCCACGCTTGGATTCCAAAACACCAAGATGACAATGCCAAAAACATGGAACCAAAAGGAACAGCGAATGGTATCTAAAAGTAAAGAAACAGGAAAAATGAAGGGGGAAACGAATGCTTAATGTCACTAGTTTTAACAAAAAGTAATTGGAGAGCTATGATGAGTTTCTTTTCATTGCCCCATCACTCACACTGGTGCTTGCTTCATCTGTGATTGTCTCTAATGTTTAGGCACATCAATATCTGGTAACATCACAAATGTGAGTCGTGATTCAGATGTCAGGAAACAGGTCGGAGCTACCCAAATCTTTAAATGTTTAAACAATATCAGGCTCTGTTTATTCTCGGGCCGGCAGCGATGTAAGGTGCCCAAAAAAGGGGATTATGTGACCGTCCCATATGCTCTCCAATCCTGTAAACAACACACTCCCATCTCTGGAACACGGGGTTACAGATGGAAGGTGGACAAGTTTAAATTGCAGGCCTAAACTTAATCTTTTCTTATAAACAAGTCTTACTGTATTCAAAGCAGAGCTGAAGTCAGTGCTCTGCCAGAGACACATGGATGATGCCGCTATCAGTGCCCCTATCACTTCATGCCCCAGTTGCCCAAACATGGTAAGCTCCTCTGACGCTTGCTTTACCCAGACAAAATAGCTCTTCTGTTTGCCTGTGGGCTGTTGGGTTGAGTGTGTGTGCGTTTGTGTGTGTCTGTGGGCGTGAAGACGTCTGAGAGCCGTGTCAGAATTGGGCGTTCAGAAAAGGATACGTTCTTCCAGATTTGGATGGATGTATTTTCATTGCTTGGTTTCAAAATCACGAGTAAATTCAAAGCTTGCCAGCTCAGGGCTGCAGAACGGCACCGGTGCAGAGCCTGGCTGGTTCTATAGGTACAACTTACACGTGTGTCACGTGTAGGCAAACAAAAACGAAACAATTACACATTTACAGACTCTTAGTAGTTCTCTCGAGAACCACTAATTGAAACAACATGAGTGAATTAAATCATTAATCACAGAACATTAAAGCCAGGAAACAGATCGTGCTGAGTAAAGACTTTACAGCTTTATCTTCACGAGGCTGAGATTTACAGTTAGAATAATGTTTGGCACTTATTTAAACTTAATGTCAATGAATGTCATTCAAACACGCTTGTGTTTATATATGCCCCTCCCCCTGCACACAGACACAGTAGAGCAGGCACTATAGTCATCCTTATGACCTCCGACTCTGCAGTGCACCTACTCGTGTGTCCTGCACACCTGGTGAGTTTGAAGCAGATCAGATGACTAGTTGTTGAAACTGGCGAAGAAAAAAAAAGACTTCTGGATTTTTGGTATGATGAACAAGATCGTTCCCACGCTTTCCTTCTAAACAGACTCACTTTGTTATACTTTTACCAGCGTCTTTCTCCTTCATCCTTCACTTCTCTCCTCGCTTCTCGGTGCTGTGATTGTCAGCGTGCTGCATCATTGGTGAAGCCACGTGCTCTGTGTTTATCATCAGGAAGGGGAGGGAGATAGAGGGAGGGAGAGAGAGAGAGCTCTTTCTCTCTCATTTCTACTGCGACCACAGGAAGACACACACATTCACGCACAAACACTCTGAGACGTACACTCAGCCAGTCTGTAGCAGCCTGAGGGACGGACACAGAAAACACAGCTACACCAGACTTTGCGGCCACAGAAGCTCTGAACAACACCACAGGTACCGTAAAGCTTTGTCTGCCTGGATTGTGATATTGATTCAACAGTTTCTACCTAAGTGGCAAACAGTCATTTGCAGGTGAACTCTTTGAGAAGCTTCGTGTTTTGACTCTACCCTCAGCTTTGAGCTCGGATGCAGTGAGCCTGCTTTGTGTTTGAGGACTAGAGGAGGAGGATGTTAAAATGAGGACAGGAATTTTGGCACGGTGTATGTGAATGCTGCTGCTGGAGCTTTGTGCTTTTTACTTTTCCTCTCTCTCTCTCTCACAGACACACACACACACACACACATATACACACCCCTGTTTCCAGCCTCTGCATTGGTGAGAACAGGATGTCAAGAGGTTGAATTTATTGACCCCACAGGAACAAAAGTGCGACATTTAGAAAACCAGACGGGATTATTATTATGTATTAAACCCAAAGCCTTTGCATTTATATTGTATTTCCCTGGTTTACAGTTGGATTATAAAGTTGTAGTTTAAAAAAGTCTTGATGCTTTTAATAATCGTCTCATTCTGATGTGTCTGACTTTGGCAATGGCAGGGGAGGGAGCGATGCGTGCTAAAGAAAACAATGCTGGATTTGAAGGAGATTGAGTCAGCTGGATGATGAATCGACAGTAGGTGGAAGTCATAAAAGTTGATTGAATCTGGTGCAGGCTTGTGTTAGTGGTGCCCTGAAAGTGCCTGCATTTGTCTCAGTGGTCTTGGCAGGACCAGACAGATTAGAACCATCAAGCATCGGGGCATCGTGGTCAAAATAAAGTGGCTGGGTGATCGCATTTAAAAACTAAGAACCATATAAGACAACATTAATGTATATGCAGATTTTATCAGAACTCGGTGAGGTTTGCAGCGTCACACCAGCAGCAGAATGAACAGATGAACAGATTAAAGAGCATTTTTCATATCCTTGAAAAAGCAACAGTGTTGATGTCTCATTTTTATTTGCACCTCTTACATAATTTCTCTATCAGATCAGCAAATGCACTTCCCTTATCATTTTCTTGCAGTGCATCTTTTGCTATGTTCAGATTTCAAGCTACTACAAAACTTATTGACTCGTATTCTTCCTGCTGCTTCTTGAGAACATGAAACAGCCGCTGAAGCCGAGCTGGCCTCCCCTTCGGGAGCGGGTCTGTTTCTCAGCTCGCAGTTTATAAATAGATTTACAAAGAGCAATACGCTCCTGCTCTTGTTCATCACGAGCCACACAGCAATGCTAGCTCACACCTTATCGCCAATCCAGTTAGTCCATATTTGGCCAGAGGGGATTTTTGGGGATATAGATTTATCACATTATTCCAGAATTTTCTACAAGTATGAACAACATGAGTTAAAATCTTGCTTAATTTCCAGTGGAAGAGATGCAGTTTTGGGTTTTTCTTATAAATCATGTCACCTCCTGCTACTATGCGCCGATTAACAGCTCATAATTATCCGCAATTTTACTGCTCCCTACATCCAACTCACTATGTATTGCACTACAACTCAAAGTAAAAAGGTCACTATCCCCTATAAAAAGCACAATAAGGGTTACTACGTGTCCAAAATGGCAATAAGATACGAGCGATCCTGCTTCCATGTTTCACCTGCTGGTTCTAACCACAAGTTCAAGCTCTGACTTTACATCTTGTGGACTTCATGAAAATCAAAGGTATTGGGAAATTTCACAGCCACGCATCTGTGCAGATGAAAAATTTAAGACAACCTGTCAGATCAACAAAGCATATGAAGTAGTAGGAAAGTCCCAATACCAAGCCCCAAGTCAGAGGAGCTTTAAAAGCTAGCAAGCAGCCACTGCTTAGGAAGCTAAATGTAATTAGCACAGTTCTGACAGTTCACGACATCTGCATAGCAAACATACAATTGCACATGCATAAAGCACAGATATGAATCATTAAGGACTTAACACTGACCAGCCCATCCAGGGTTAGACTTAGTGTTGTTGATGTTATTGTTTAATTACATGCTAAATGGGGAAAATCCTTTATAAACTACAAGATGATAAATAGATAGAAGTCAGATAAAAAATGGACATTGCAGTCACATGACTCTTTTAATCTTTTCAATTTGTTCACCTTGAATTCACGATCAAGGTAGGAGGTGAAGTTTTCTAACAATCTTATGAAAACCCTAAATAGGAAAAGATCTCACGTAGAATTTTCCAATTGATTTGAAACATGCATCTACTGGGAGGCTGCTGGATAGCACTGGTGATATTTTTGCTATTGTCAGCATAAACTTCAAGAGTTTTCACACCTTAAAAACCTTTTAGCCACAATTTGATCTTCATAAAGCTCTGACTAGTTCAAATCACTTTACTTTGGTCACAAGTAAATTGCTTGAAACAAAGCAAAGAGAAAAGTTTGACTTTTGGATGGGGATTACTTTATTACTTTGAATTAACAGATAAGAAATAAGATAAGATAAGATAAGATAAAACTTTAATAATCCCTCGGGTGGGTTCCTCTGGGAAATTCGGTTTCCAAAAGCACAGCACTGACAGAAGTTACAGTTACAGAATATTATATATATATATATATATATATACACACACACACACATATATAAATACAGAGACATATATAAATAAAATATACGAAGGGGATAAATAGAATAAATAGGAATAAAAATACAAGTGAATTGCACATTTCAAGTATGGAGTCTATTGCACCGTTGACTATTAACAAAAGTATTGCACAAAAGGTATTGCACAGTGAGGTGAAGAGGCACTACAGCTTAGAAATAGAGTGCTGAAGTCAGAGGCTACATGTTGTGAGATTTGACAGTGTGGTTACGTGGTGATCTCCTCTCTAAAATACAAGACAAACACATGAAATCACATACTGTACTGTTGAAATTATGCTTCTAGAACATTTAACTATTTAGTAAGGAATGCTAAATGGCTAATTCCCCAACTTTAACCTCTGAGCAGAACTTAAGCTGACTGTGAGGTGCTTAGCAGTCACATCAGCTCTCAAGTTGGCTAAACACTTTTATTCTGTTAAGAAATTTCCTTGTACAAAACAGCAAGATTAACCTAAATTTCAGATGGGGGTAACAAAACTATGCCTTAGAAGAGATGTCGGGTATGTGAAGCTTTCATTGCTCGCTTTCTTGTTCCTTCTGTTTGGAAACAACTCTTCTTGCTCTTTGGGTTCTTTGCACCACTCCATAGCCCCCATCTCCCTCCCCCCAGTGGCATTTTCAATAGCTAGACAATGAGGCTGGCACTGAGAGCGAGCCACTGCAAAAGCAAAACTGTTATTACCGTGTTTTGCATGCTGATACATTTCCCCTTTGTGTCCCCATTTGTGTTGGATATTTGCTCTAACCCAGTAGCATCCTTGTGTCTCCTGGAAACTATATCTATATAAATTATAAAAGGTTGTTGCATGTCTTTCTGGCCACTATTAGAGGCCAGTAAAAGTCAGTTGATGTATTATTAGAAACCCCATGGCTTTTTTATTGATTTGAAAATCTGACTAATTAAATATCACTCACCTAATAACAGAAAAGTCCTTTTCTATCATTTAACCTTTACATTTTTCTCCCTAATTTTTTATGACCATTTTCTTACTGACCTCTGTCGCCTGTTTTATTATTCCTTCTGTCTGTTCTCTGTAGCTTTGCTGCATGACCTTTCCTCTTATAACCTGTGAATTTTATTATTGCCTTTGCACCTGCAATGCACCAACGCTAGTACAGTAGTTCTTGTCTCTTGTATTTTTATACCTGCTGCTAGATGGGGCCTGGATTGTTTTGGAACTTCCCTCCCAAGGCTGGCTGCACGGTTCCACAAAGCCTCCTGCAGACCATGTACGTAGGATCGTAAAGCCACTGTACCTACCTACCTACATAACCTACCATACTGTACCACATAGGTCTCTCCTTTATCCAACCCGAGTGGATATACATCTATGGCATTCTCTGTCCATTCGCCCCATTCTGTCAATCAGTCAGACCAGTGTTTCAAGCATTCATTCTGCAGCAGCCAGCAAATGCCCATAAATCCAATCAAAAATCATAATTCTGTTGTTAAACAAACATGCATTTGACAGGAGCAGTCCATCTGCCATATATATATATATATATATATATATATATATATATATATATATATATATATATATATATATATATATATATATATATATATATATATATAAAAAAATTTTAAATTTTATTTTATTTTTTTAAACTTTTTTTTTAAAAGAAGAAAAAAAACACACAACAGATACTGGAACAGATACTAGGAATTAGGCCGGGAATAACGCCAGACTCTTGAATTGAAAATTCTCTCTACAACCGTTGGCAAAAACCTCATCCAGGTGACACACCGCGTGGTATGAGCCTCTTCCAGCGTGTGCAGTTTGCTCATCCTTCAGACTTTTCATCGCTTTAATATGCATATTTTTAAATGCATCACTCTATTTAATTCTGACTGTATAGAAAACACCTGAACAGTTTAAATTCAACCTGTAGCTGGGCTTTTGCTAAGCTTGTGCTTACAGGATGCTAATACTACTGTTTTAAATGACAGTGAATGATTTCCTATATACCATTATTTGTTATCTTACTACTGAATTCCCATACTGTTTTACATCCCATATTATTGTATCCTAGTTCTTATATGTAGGCTTGATATTTGGATTATATCATAAATTCTAAATAAAGAATCATAAATCAGTACAGAGATGTACGCAGGAATGCACTAATAGCTATGAACTTCTTCTTAAAGGCTGCTGTTGTTTAAGGATTGTAGTTTAACAGATTAGCAGCTTTTAGAAAACTTGGGTTGTACGTATTAACAGTTATTTATTTTGATGCTTGATAAGGAATCTTGGCTCTAAATAAATACACAATCCCAAAAATGTGGTGAAAAAACAAAAAACAAACACACAAGATGCTGAATTTCACCTTTCATAACATCAGCTGAAATTTGCTTGTAAAGCTGATCCTAGCCTGGTCACTTTTGTCTTGTGTTTGGGCCTAACTGATTCAGTTTAATGTGATTAAATACTCCCGTCAGTTTTGTTGGTTCACACAACAATCCTTTGCACATTCATATTTCTGTAAAGTTTCAGTTCCATGTTGGAGTCTATGAGGCCTGACTGGAGATGAATCTTTCTCCAAACTGCTAATGTTACTAAAGCATATCAGCATGCCCCGTCATCGCACACATTGTTTTGTTTTTTCCCCTCGGTGTGTGTGTTATGTTTTGCTGTCACCCATTAATTTTGAAATGCCAGCCCTGGTGCTGACTATCCTGTGTGACTGACTCATTGTTGATGGAACTCCATGTTCCACACATCTCTGCATGCATATTAATGCCTCTTTGTTGCAGAGCTTCACCGTGTGCTCAAAATATAGTTTGCAAACAAAACTGAGTATGCTTCTAAGGAATATCCCTTTAATGTCAAATGATTCAAAGCTGTATCACCTCACGGTAACTGCAGGATTAGTTGAGTATTCTGTCTTGTGAACAACTGAAAAACCTTTTATTGTGAATATAGTACAAGGAGAAGCTTCATACAGTGAAAGTAAGTACATCTACATACAGCTAGAAACCTGTGGACTTGAATGAAGTACACTTGTAGGAACAATAATAGCACTTTTTCAACATAACAATCAGAATAAAATGAGTAAATGTTGCGATTTATCTTTTTTTTAATCTATTTTGCTGATATTTTTTATTCAAGAGCTACAATCATTAAATTAGCTAATGTATCTCATCAAACTATACTTCCCATTAATAGATTTTATTAGCTCAAAAATACATACGGATGAACACTGGTGGACTAAAAATGAATGGAAAAACAGCTGATGTATAGAATAAGTTTTCAGCAGCGATCACACCTTTTAAGCCCTGAAAATTTGATGCATGTCCTGTACTTAAGATGTTAAGAGGGCTCAAGCATGTTCGTAAAGTATCTAATTTCCCATGTATTTCTGGAAAATATTGGAAAATATTTATAGAACGGTACAATTTTCAGTTGAATTTATTAAATATACAAGAAGTATTATACAAAAAAAATTAATCAGCTGATTCCGAGAAGTGCAGGAGGAGGCACTGACGAGTGCCTTTCATGGAGTGCCTGTGGCTATATTGAAAAACTGGCTGAGAAGATGAATCCCAGTGTCCAGAAGCTTGGCAGCAGAGGAATATTCCAGCATGAGAGCAAACCCAAGAAAAAAGAGTTTTCTAAAGAAGCAAAAGTGACGACTGTGAGCTGGCTGAGCATGTTTTACCGAAGAAAGGAAGAATTCCTACTGTGTGACCTTTAATGTCACACAAGAACAAACACCAGAGACATTAAATTAGACAGACATGCCTCTCAATGCACCATGAATTAAAATCTATGGCAGAACTCTGTAACAGCAAACATGTTGTTCCAAAGGAAAAATGAGCCTTTTTAATGCCATTTTGAGACAAAGTCAGCAAACAGATTTGTCTGGTGATTCTATGCATGTAGTCTTTATGTTCCTTTGAAATGAATTAAAATAATTGTCATTTATTTTATTTGTAATCACTGCCCAAATACTCAAAGAGATCCTTCAAAATAGAGCCTAGGAGCTGAGATTTGCTTCTAGAAGGATTTCTTCTTGGAGGCAAGCAGTTACTGTGACAAGTTTGAAACATTTGATACCAAAGCAACATCACTCTGGGGTTTACTCACTTTTCCTCCTGACTGTAAGTCATCTTTTGTAAAGAGCAAAATTTGTGGGTTTTACGCTGCAGTATAAAACACAGAATGTTCATGGTGTATTAGAGTAAAAATGATCCGATCGATAAGAGAATGCTGCTGCTTACATACTGGCTATTGAATGCCAGCTCTGTGCTACTCTGTGGTCACTAATGGAGGGCATATATTAAAAATGGAGGCTGGCACAGCACAAGCAACAGCTTCATATAATATGCAGAAACATGACTTTGCCCTCAGGTTCAGATGTAAATCAGTAGAAAACTGGACACACCTCTCATCAGAAAAGCAGCAGGAGAAGTACGGAAATAGCGATGTGATCATTTCTTGATTACTGATTAAGCGTTAAGTGTTGGGTTATTTGTCTAGAATGAAAATAGTATCCTGACATATCAGGAAAATAATCCATCAAGCTAAAAATAAAACATGTGGCGTGTTTCTCTTGCACCTCCTCATATTTCCCTCAAATGGCTGTCAAGCAGCAACAAGAGGACAATTCAGTCTTCAGTTATTAACGCTACAATGTTACAGAACGAAAATGTGAATGTAGAAATATATTATTGAATATGCAACCTTTTTGTCATTAAAAATATGAGAAATGCATTGTTTAAATATATTTCTACATTTCTGTGCATTCTTTTTTATTTGGACGGTCTCTATCTCTCTACATATCTCCATGCACACTGCTCAAAAAAGTGAATCTGGACCAGAGCATCACTGAGCTCCTGAACACCTTCAGGTGCAACCTGGAATGATTGGATCAAAAGATGGATTGAACAATAATGTCCCACTGGTGTTCGATTGGCTTTAGGTCAGGCGAGCGTGGGGGGAGGTCAGAGGTATCAATTCCTTCATCCTCCAGGAGCTGCCTCATACTCTGGCAACATGAGGCTGGGATTGTCATGCACCCAGAGTAACTCAGCACCCTCTGTGCCAGCGTAGGGTCTGACACTGGGTCCAGTGATTTCATCTTGATATCTACCTGGCCTCTAGGGGCCTGTGAGTCCCTCTGTGGACTGTCTACAGGAATCTCCTCTGTGCTCTCGAAACTCTGCTGGGTGACAGAGCAAACCTTCTGGCAGTGGAAAGTTTTGATGTGGCATCCTGGAAGAGTGGACTACCTGTTGCACAGGTAGTTTGTATACCCTAACCCAGAGGTGTCCAAGTCTAGGCCTAAAGGGCTGGTATCCTGCAGGTTTTAGATCTCACCCTGGGTCAACAGACCTGAATCAAATGATTAGTTCATTACCAGGCCTCGAGGGCCGGTGTTCTGCAAGTTTTAGATGTGTCCTTGATCCAACACAGCTGATTTAAATGGCTCAACATGTCTTGAAGTTCTCCAGAGGCCTGGTAATGAACTAATTGGACACCCCTGCCCTAACTAAATACAAGACCAGTGAAACAACAGTCAGACAAGATGAGGAGGTAAACATGTTAGTGGCCTCCACCTGTAAATTTCATGTTTTTGCTGGTTGTCTCATTGCTGCCCCTCTAGTTCACCTGTTTTTATTTAATTTAAGATCAAAACAGCTGAACATGATTAACAACCCTCTCTGTTATGTAACTGATAGGATCAATACCTCAGAGGCTTCACTGACTTGATGCTATAGCCTGACTAAAAGATATTCCTTTAATTTTTTTGAGCAGTGTATTTATTCCAGTATCAGTGGGCGTATGGTTCTACACTCAGTCTAAAGCAGGACCGGTCAGCTTAATGAGCAACAAATCGACACAACACAGACAAATGACGACACATCAGAGCACATTAAGTCCACACAACAACACGTGTATTAGGGCGATTGTGGCTTAAAGAGTTGGCAGTTTGTCTTGTAACCGGAAGGTTGTTGGTTCGAGCCCTGGCTCGGACAGTCTCGGTCATTGTATTCTTGGGCAAGGCACTTTGCCTACTGGTGATGGCCAGAGGGGCTGATGGCGCAATATGGCACCCTGCCATGTCAGTCTGCCCCAGGGCAGCTGTAGCTCACCTCCACCAGTATGCGAGAGTGAATAGTGGAATTGTAAAGCACTTTGAGGGTCTCGAAAAGCGCTATATAAATGCAGCCCATTAAATTGTTAGTGTTACCCAAGTCTTTAAATAATAGGCATGTACAACAC